GGAAAGAGTTATATTGTGTTTTCTGCACATACATAATGCGCAGAATTTTTCATTTTAAGAGACATAGGATCAAATGGCAATATTACTTTTGTGTTTACTTCAGCACAATGGTAAGACAGTATTTTGTAAGTATTTGCAATATTCCGCTATAGTAAAACAGTACTAAAGTAATTTTAACACCTACTGAAACGCTGTTCATTATTATGACTGCACTGCTCTTCAATATGTATTTTATGGAAATCAGCACGGTAAATCTCAGGAGAAAGTCTTGAACAGTGGATAACAGTAAAACAGTCATTTATCCACTGAAGTTAAGTTATTCCTTTATTTAACCACTTCAAATATTTTCACAGAGCGGAGCTGGAACTTTATATCCATAGAGATTCTTCAGCATATTATCACTACTTTCATCTATAATCATGTCCCCTCAGGTAACAGCAAGATTATTGCAAGTTTCTTCAGTGCAAGTAGGATTAAATCACGGTTTATCAACATGCTTTAAGAACAGTACACTCTTTAAATATTTAGATGTCTACAAACCAAATATTTCTTTAGTGTTTTTTAATCTTGCTCCACGAAGTAAGAGACTTTCAGGCCCAAGAGGTCTAAAAAGAAACAGACATATCAACATTTAAAAATTCGTAGCTCTGTATTCTGTAGGACTTGTCCTAGCTTTCTATGCAAATTTGTCCCATATCCCCTGTGGATTCCCACTACAACAACTCTCATTTAGGTCTATCATCAATCCGCTTACCCATTTTACCACACCTCACTCACACATCTGCATAGAGCTCTCTGTTTCCTTTCATGTCTCCTTTGGTCCCTATCATATTCTCCCACCACTGTTCAAGATCCCATAATTAGTGATGGAGCTAAATACCAAATTACGGGTTCAGAGAGACCTGAAAGTTACTTGAGGAGACAACAGGCAAAAAATCTTGTTGAGCTCACAGTGCACCAGGAGTGCTGCTATTTAACCCATCTTACTTCTACCCCTCTGTCAAACTGAAACGATCCAGCATGTTCAAAAGCAATCCATACCAGAGAAACAAACAACTGGAAGGACACAACACTACCACAACAGTGCCTGATCTGCTTCCTAACACAAAAGTAAAATTTCATAAATTATTTTTCCTCACATCTATCACACCACAGTAATACATTCATTTGAATGGCTAAATTAACTGCAAAGAGTGTCGTGACAGAAAAGGTCCAGTTAGAATCAAGTCTGATGTAAGGTTAGAGCTGTATGTCCTACTCCAGCAGCCGTATCATCTTCAGAAACTGCCAGCATAGTTGGTTTGAAATTTTTTAAAAAAAGTGCATTCACTAATTTTGCCAATGTTTCAAATGAATGCAAGACCTGAACAACTGCAGTGGCCAGGTTGACATACTGGGTATAAACAAAAGAATTAAAGATCATATATTAAGTGTTACGGCATACAAGGCCTTGGGATTGTTTTACTTTTCCATTAGCTGTACCACTAGCAGTACATGATCGCTATTATACAAACAAAGCTCTTGTACTTGAAGTTCCTTGGAAATCATAACCCAGAGTTACTAAAAAAACCAAGCCTCAATCCCATACAACCACCACCTCACCCCTCACAGCTAAACATTTAACTTAAAACATAGCAGTTACCTTCACAAATATCAAGTGCACCAATAATACATCTAGATTATTATAGGTTCTTTAAATTACACATCTATAAGTTAGTATTTTAGGCTAGACTCAAACTTTAGCTGAAAAATTCAACTAAAAGGCACTATATGCTCATGCATTTAACCATTTTTATAAGAAACCTAATGCCTATTTCTGGATTCAAGTAGTTTTTGCAGTTTGTAAAATTAGTCTGAGAAACCCAAAATACAAAACCTGAATCAGTGCAACACAGACAAATTTATCTTTGACAGAATACACAACCCCACCACTAGTCAGAACTTGCAGTTATTTTTCACACTCCCTTTAAATTGGCTCTGTTACATTTTGATAGATTATCCCAAAGCTGAACCTGTCCAGCTTGGCAGTAATGAATTCTGAAAAGCTCTAAGTGAAGTAGCCCATAAAGCAACCTCAGAAATAGGCTGAGTGGGTTTTGGGCGAAGGGTTGGGTGGGGTTTTTTTGTGGGAGCGGCCAAGGCACTGGACCTAGGGCCTTCCACATTCCCGTAAGTGGTGTGTGCAGGACAAGGGTCATGTAGGGGTTATCAGAGGTACCCTGGCTCCTATTAGTCTGGCACTGAATCAACTGAGTGAGACCTGGGGTGAGGGAGAGGCCCCAGAGCCTGGTGTTGCATTGGTAAAGCCAAGCAGACCACTTTTAATTGCCTGCTTTGTTCTTCCTTGCCCCCACCCCCCCACCTTGACTGAACACATGACGAGCCTTGTTAAGGGCCAACCAATATGCAATAATTCACTTCAGTCCCACCTCACCAAGAATATAAATCTGGCATTTAGAATCCTCCAATCTGGTGCAGAGGATGGCAAGAGCATCAACTTTTGGGTGGGTCAATGGGCCTGTACATCTCTTCCTCCTCCTCAAGCAGAGGTGCCTTCTTGGTGAGAATCACGATAATTAACTATAGTGCTAAGTATCAATCCATGCTTGCTTACTGTAGTGCATGCGCGATTAATGGTAGTTAATGCTACAGAGCTATACATTTAAATTCTGGTATGTCACTTACATTAGTGTAAGACAGTGCATTTATCACTGGCAATTCTGAATCTATTGTATCTGTTGCCTTAATAAATCATTTATCTATTTCAACTTTGCAAATCTGTTTCAGTGAAAGCTCCTCAGAGGGCTCTGAACAGGCAACCGTTGACTCTGATAGGTGGCTGCTCCCGTAACTTCTATTAGATATAAACCATTGACCAAGTATGAGACCAAGATTGGATCCAGCCGCAAGGGGGTCCTCTGAACCTCGTGACTCAACGGGAGGGCTTCCACTCCCCCCCAGTCACATATCAGACTCACACCCTCTAAAGGGCACCATATTTCTTGCAAAACCATCGACAAATCATTGATTCACTCTGAACTTCACGTTACTCTTATCTAAAATTGACAGATGCTTGCCAGTCTCATAGGAGGCTCTTTGACTGAAAGACGTTCAGTTCTTCAGACTGAAGGCACACATTACACAGAAAATAATACTGCTTTAATATTTGATATGGGTAGAAATTAGGTGACAGGTAACATTTTGGACATTAGAAGAGTGAAAGAATCATAACAGATTTACCTGTTTCTGTGACACATTTATACATCATAACATAGCCCTTCACATTTCAAGAAGAGGCAACCAAGTTTTTTGAAAGCTTGATTATCAACAAGTCTCAAGAGAAAACAACTAATAACTTGCATGATAAACACTGCTGAAAATCTGGCCATTTCTTGTGAGTGATTTCCCTGTCTTTATTTCAAAACTTGACCTTTCTCACTCCTCGTCTTCCTGTTTTCTCTTCTGGCCTGTTGTGGTGAGGGGAAGTGAACGAGTGGCTGTGTGATGTTTGTCTGGTAGCTGGGGCAAACCCACCACAATTAGCAGTCTTTTGAGGAAGCCCAAATATAGGTCTGTAAGTGGTTTCACATCTTTATTTTTACATTTTCACATGTGTTTAGGTGCATGCTACTTGCTATGACTGCACAGGGAAAATTAATGAGCACACAATTATGTGCACACATTTGTGTTAACTATTACAGATGTAGCACTTGCCTTTACAGTCCAGGTAGTACAGTAGTTTAATATATATACTTAAAGGTACAAATCTGTAGCAGAGACTTTGTTAAAACAGACCAATAATTTTTAGCAATTTCAACTGCAAAAACACCTGTTCAGTGCCTTTGATAAAAAGATGACAGAGGATCTGTTGTAGTCTATGTAATATGGCACTGGAAGATGTTTAAGATCAAGAAATGTTTTAAGTAAGATCAATAAATATTTTAAATAAAAAATAGCAACAAAGTTACCAGCTGATTACCAATGCCTAAGAATTATCCCCTTCAGAGCAGCCAAGCTTTCCAGAACTGTCCCATTAAGTCTGAAAAACTGGGTAGTAATGAATTTTCATTTCACTATTTTTTTCTCATCTCCATCTGAACTATGCAGCTACAACTGGCACTCTGGGTAAAAATACCCCTAGCTTTCATATGTTCAACAGTAACTTTTTTGTGTCATGGTCATGATTTTAACCACTTCCATCAGTTCTAAACATTAATCTTACAAAATTTTACTTACCGTACAATTTCTTCAGTTTGTTGACTTACAGTTATTCTTCCAACAAATCTATGAAAGACAGCTGTATGTTAGAAATATCTATATAAAGACTCAAAAATGTGTAAAACACCTCTCTATATATACAAAAGTCACTAGTGGTTCACAAGTACATAATAATCAACTTCTATTAACAAACAAACTAAACCAATATGGCAACACAGGCAGTAATTTTACAAGAGATTTAACAACAGCCATCTGAGAAAGCCTATTAGGTTTCATTAATAAAAGCACACAGGACTGCATTTCTTTCTTACTTAAAAGAGATTGTGACAACTTGATGATTCAGTAAGAAATAATTCCTCAACAAATATCAGTTAGCATATTATCCATCAGAAAAAGTAATTTTTCATTTAATAAAGCCAATCTAGTCTCTTTTTTAAATCTGACACTTGTATATTTAGCATGACCCCAGCTACAAATAGCGACATAAACTGCTACAGTAATTTTATCTTCACTTGTTCTCTACAAACTGAAGATCAAATCTTTGAAGAGTTGTTCATATTATTTTATTTTTTACATGAATGTCATATTTCTTAAAGACATCAAAAAGCTCACTTAAGAACAACTGCTGTGACACACTTGGATTTTGAAAAACACTGCTTGATGCAAGAATTTCCCATTATACTACTTAGGAGAAGCTTGGATGGGAATATAGCTTTTGTTACATATGATGCTGTTTTACAGAGTCTAGAGCACTGCATGCTGACCTTAAAAGCTGAAATCAGATACAACTGTTTTTAATTTAAATTTTTGCTGCTGAAGAATGGAGTTTGAATCTTCTCTTGAGCATAAGCAAAGCAGATGTGACCAATAAATATCCTTAGCATTAACATAAACGTTCAACAGTTGAGTTAATTGCATTTTTAAAAAAATTACACTATATAGTACTGAAATATCCTGGTAAAACCTTATACAACTCTTTCTCCAACCTGTCCAGACTCATAATACATTTAGTTTTTTTTAATTTGGAAACAAGTTTACTGGTTAGAACAGAAATGTACATAAGTGCCATGATTAAAACACAAAAGGTAAAAATTATCCTATAATTTCTGAGTTACTACTGAAATACTCAAATTTAACCTGTAACTTGCAAGTTTCAGTAAGTACATACGTATAAATTTATGCTAATTATTAAAGCCTAAAATTTAACCAGATGTCTGAAGCTATTTTAATCCCAACAAGATCTATAACATTCCTGATAGTAAACACTCCACTTTGATTTAATTCCAAAATATTTACTAATAGATACCTGTACAGATCTGCTTCTGGCTGCTGACATTCTATAACTGCTACAAGTTTGTCCAGGTTGGCAACGGACTGCAGGACTGCTGTTTCTGGGACTGCAACGTGTGTCTGTAAAACAGCATCCATTAAGTTAATGATACAAGACTACCCGGGGAGGGGGGTATTTCAATGGGCTGAAATAAAAATGTCATCACAGATTAACTACATTCTTTAGTAGCAATAACCCAGACCTTAAGATTGGTCTCTCCATCCAAACTTGCAGTAGTAACATGGCATGAACCGTCCACTCGATCAGATGACAAAAGCACCAGATCAGCAGGAAAAGTCTCATCTTTGGCTACTCTGACAATGTCCCCTACCTAATGAAGTGAACACAAATAGGGTTTTAAAAGAAAAGAATTCATTTCAGCATTGTTACTGAATCATGATGAAGCAGGCCACAATGATCAGTAATGAAACAAGAGCTTTAGCTATGCAACAGAAACATAATTTTCGATTTGTCCTTAGGCACATACCCGAATGTTTTTAGATCTAGTTTTTACAAGGCCACCACTTCGAACAACATAAACTGGAGCACCGTTTACTTCATTGTCTGCTTTATGTCGTAGCCAGTCTTCATAACCCTGTGGAAAAAACATGCACATTTGTTTTTTAAGCAAGAAATCTATAAATCGTAACAAATATCTTCTAAGCAACTGTGCTTCAAACTACTTGCAGTAACTGTATTCAGGCTGTGCAGCTTCTCTGGAGCTTCTACTACAGCTGTTACTCAAGAACTTGGGAAACCTCTTAATTTCTACTGACTTTACACAAATAGGTAAAGGCAAATAAAGTAGCAAAAGATGTGAAGGAACTTAATGGTCCCATATTCTGTTGAAACAAACAGGCAGTGACATTTTCTGCAGATGAGATGAACAAGCACTTATTCAATGTTTTATCCATATGGATTAATATACCACAAAAGTGGGAACAGTCACTCCCAGTCTCTCATGGATTTTTTTTTTAAGAGAAGTAACAGACTGAAAGGACTTCCTCATGTCATAGCACATAGCACTTCTTATAGTTGCTGCCATAGCCTATGCATGATATCCTAAGATTCCTTAATTCTGTATGACATGCTGTTCACACATCAACTCTGCAGGGCAAGAGAAGATGACTGAGAGGTTTTTAGATCTTTGTGAGTCCTAATGCAACGGTTTACAGCAACCGAGAATAAACCAAGCAGTTCTCCTTTACTCAACATTTGGCACCTCTTTAAGCACCCTTTATCCTCCCCACACGCATGTACAAATATTCATGAGAGAGATTCCAGTTATATTATTCCCTTCCTATTTTCCTAAACTGTTAATACATTGCTTATTTAATCTAATAGCATTGTCTCTGATCCCCAAGTCTAGGTACTGTTTGGAAAGGCCCATGAAGGAGCACAAGAAATAGATCAGTCTATGCAGGAAGTTCAACTGTTTCTTACATCCTGGCAAGCCTCCCACAGATCATTTGCAATAACAGAGACATTTCCGAAAATGCTTTTCTGTAGGTATAAAAAAATGTGAGAGAGTTAAAATCATTTCTGTCTGCAGACAGAAGAAGGGGGCCCTCTGAAACAGCAGGCATAAGCCCAACTCATCCTAGAGCACTACAAACATTATATATGAAAGTTGTAAGACAAAGAGTAGTAATGCAGATGCAGTTTGGAGGAAAGTTATATGATTAATTTAGCATACTGAAATTATAGTTTTGCTGTTCTGCGTTCATGCACCTCCACTGTTACTAGCAGAAACCAGTAAGGACAGCACAACTGCACTACCTAAATTAAAAAAAAAAAAAAGGAAAGAGGGAAGCTTTATATGCCAACTGCTTAAAAACAAATAATTAAGAAGTTTGTAGTAATAGCAGCCACACAAATACCAGGAAATCAGAATCCTAAAAGCCCTAAGTAAAACTCTTTTAAAAGTCCTTCTTAATGAGTATGAAACAGCAAGAGTCAGTACCTACAGATCCTTGTTAAAGGTGACTGACAGAAGAAAACAAGGATTTAACTAACATCAGTAACCTTGGGGCATTTGTCTCATAAATCTGAACAGCTGAGCAATATGGGCATTTGGCAAAGAACTGAAATGTACCTTCTTTAGAAAGTACAGATTTCAGCGCTTTCTCCATCTGACACTTATTTCCTACAACACAAGGGTAATGCCTCACACCAGGGAATTCTTAAGAGCCAACTTACTTTGGGCAGTTTAAATTCCCCCTTAATTTACCTATGGTGGCATTTTTGAGAGAGTTCCTTATCCTCACTTTCAGAAAATGCAAAAATATTGTTAAAAAGAAAGATGCAACAGGAATCTGGGGAATGATGTCTAACTGCATGAACAGAAACTAAAGATAAAAACCAGCCAACTAAATTATATTCTTAAATCCTGCTTAAATAACTGAATCAATGTACTTGCGAAAAGGACAAAATTAAAACAGGCCTGCATATTATTTTACCAGTTTCTTCATTCTCAGTTTAGACCCACATTTAATCAAAACTTGCAAAGCAGTTGTTTCTAATTTACCCGACAGTCATGCAAACATCTGTGTCCCATCAGATTGTTTACTAAATACCTATGAACTTATTGAAATGGACTAAGTTCGCTGAAGTTTCTTAGGAAATACCTTTAGTTGTGCTTTTTAAAACTGTAATATTAATTTTTTTTCTTTATTCTGTTTTCTGTATTTGGACTCCTCTGAGGACCGCATCTGCATCTTCACGGGCGTAAGGAGGAAAGCACTCTGGCTAACAAGGCAGGACAAAATGACACAGCAAGAGTTGCATCACTTTGCAGTCTGCTATGTCCTTCTTCTGACCTAGGTGCAATTACACTTCTAAGAAGAAAAAGTTCTATCTCCTTGGCTGAGATTAAAATAAGGCTGAGTTTAGAGGTTTGCTGGAGGTGTCACATTAACTGGCCTTCTGGAAGCAGAGCAGTTTTTCCACTCACTGCTAAGCTTCTCAAACCTGCATACAGTTAATGTTTCTATTTTTCCCCTTCATCTTTTGAAAGACTACTAAGTTATAGTTGAACATTTATCCTGATGTAACTTTGTACAGAACGAGTACCCGGCAGCTTTCTAAAGGTGTTTCTTCCTCTAAAAGCTCCTTCCTATTCTACTTCTGGTTTGAGAGAAATGAGAGCTGGTTTGGAGACCATACTGAGTATTTTCCCCTCTGCATCGCAACAGAAGATTTATCTTTTTTCCTTGTCCAAGGGCAGCCTGCTGGAAATAGCACACCGTGTTGCCTTTCCAAGATAACAGCTTGTGAATACTGTTTGCCTACTTTGCAGCAGGTAGGATAAACACGAGAGTCCATTAGATCAGTTTAGGTGGTTCCAATAGTCCTTGTACAGATATTGAGATAATCTCGATTCTTTGTAATTGATGGTAAGATATTTAAATTTCCCAATATAAGATTGGACATCTGAAAACAAGATGGTAATATATTATTTTGGACTATTTTAGACTCACACAAGTCCAATTTCTTTCTAGAAAAAACTCTCAACTAATAGTTATAAGTAGGTTGTACAATCTCTTTCAGTTCACACAGCTTTAATGGATATTTTACATTGCCTACCCATGACTATAGCTCTTGAACATGCGATTTTTTGGGGAATGATGGTAACAACTGCAATTGAATAGGATTAGGGCACTCTATAAATACAAACCACACAGCAACAAGATGAAAAGTTAACTCAAATATTACTCCAGCATTAAGATCCGCTCTGCTCCAAACACCATTCTATCCACTGTGCAGCTATTTTTACTTCTGCCCTATTTAAGCATGGCTTTGGGTCTTACTGATACAGAAGGCAAATTGAAATTCCAGCTGCAGCTCCATAAGCCTCCTGCTTACTTTTCAGCTGCTACGTCTGCAACTTTTCTCCAGACAGCACTGTCAAACTCTTTCAAGAGGACAGTTCCTGAAAATTACCTCCCTGCAGAAGAGATTATAGTTTCTATCCACATCACCTCTTTATCTACGTACTTGTTTCCTTCTCCTCTATCTTTAAGGGTTTAAAGAAAACAGATTTTATTTTTAATTTCTTTTTTTACATTCTGCTTCCAGGAGGTCTAGGTCTTCTAGGATGTAATATGGTGCTTGAACAAGATTTATATTAAACCTTATATTACAAGATTATTCCTATTTCAAGTACTATAAAGCACTGCAAAATGTTTTATGCAACCAAAGAAAACAAAACCAGAAGCTTTCTAAATTGGACCTTTTACCTGGTACAGGATTACAGTTAATATATATTTATGCCATGAAACATACTCCTTGAGGCAAAACTTGCCTTTTAACTACTGACAAACACAGAATGCACCATTGCTTCATCTATCCAAGCTCCCTTCTCAGTGTGTCATGTAGGAGAGGATTGGTTTTAATACGCAGCGAGGTGTGCCAAAGGAATAAGTGAGTAGCTTTCAGAAAAGGTCTTATAACAAGTGACATGTAATGTTTAGACAAAAATGCTGTCTGACAGTCATTCACTGTCCATTTAAGGGAACTGCAGTGAGTCACTGAGCACTTGACAACTAACCAAAACCTTCAAGTGCAAGCATCTAACAGTAAACATAAAATATAAAATCCTTTCTACAAACTAAACTTGTTTATTTCTTTTTAGCATCTAAACATTATCTTGGTCAGACTTTGTTAAGTAACTTTACCTTAGAACGATTTCATGCTACAAGATTTTTTCCCCTTTACCTGTTTTATGGCTGTGACAGTTATGACAAAGAATAATGGCAATCCACTGGTAATAGGACTGGTAGGGGTGTCTATCATTAGCTAAAAGAGAAGAAAATATGAAAATTAGCCCAAATTTTATATTTACAATTGTACCTTAAAAAAAACAAGCAAACAAAAAAATCAATGAAGCGACAGGACAACTCTTTTCCAAACTCATTATAACCTGTGAGTATTTTTACTGCATTTTCTGCAGTATTTCTTGAGCAAAACTCAGATCCTGACAGCTAAATAATGTCTTAATAATTATGCAAACAAAGGTTTTGAGGCATAGAACAGACTTAATCATATTTGTAATACATTTGCCAATTTAAGGAAGATATGTTTTCCTCCTACAAAGATCAATTCAAAAGTAAAATATACAGGAAGGAAATCTACATTTCATGGAGCTGTTTCAATACTCTACACAATCTGCTGCTTAGCAGCAATGTAGAGTATATTAACATCCACTTCAGAAGTGAAAATAAAGTTGAAAATAGTAATTTCCAACAGTTTAGACATTAGAGAACTTTCTTTCTTAGACCTTTCATTTCTGGTTCCCCCAAGTTAACATGCAGTTTTTACAATGTGTGCTATTATTGCTGGCATGCCAAAAGTGCAGTGTATACAGTAAAATTCTGTACGTGGTGGGGGGGATGTTAGTGGTTCTTCTCTGCTGCAGGAAAAAACCAACATGGTCAGGTGCTGTAAAGAAAATATACACAAGAACTATTCAAAAGCACGGACACTGATTTGATCCACTTTACCTGAGACTTATGGCATTGCTTTGGGAACCATTAAAGAAAAAAAAAAATCATACATGAAATTTACTCTGTTAAGAGTCAAGAACCTCATAGAGAAAACAGATTATGCCACGTTACAACACATGTATGAGTTGTTTGGTTGGGTTTTTTTCACTGAAACGCAGACAATCTATAGAACACAACAAAAATCAGACCTAGACTGCAATATCGTCTGTTCTTCCACTGCAGCATTGCAATTTCAGCTTGACAGCACGTTGTCCAAGAAAATCCATGCCAAAAGCATCTGATTTTCAGCTAGATAGAGTTAACCATAATATTTCTGCCATCCACACTCTCTCCTTTCTCAAGAGAGGCTCGCATGTGAAAACGGAGCCAGTTTTGTGCTGGAGGAACTCTTGAGGCAGGCTGCTCCTTCTGCCTCTTTAACCAGAACACCATGGCCCTTGGTCTGCTACACAACTGGACTCGCACCCATGACATAAACGGTGTGGAGCACCACGTGACCAAAATGCAGTCAGTCACCATGATTTTGGCATGCATACGTGAGTGAACAGTGTGGACTGGATTGTGGTACATGTTTAAATCACACAACGAGAACTCGCCCCAGCTCTGTCATCCCCAGTGGAATAAGGTGGTAATGACAGACACAGCATCTTGGTCACATCAGATTCATGAGAAGGTACCATGGTGATCAACATTTAAAGGCACCTTTGCCTTATAAAAAGAAAAACTATTAGATATTAATGAACTTCCAAATGGGATGTGAATAAAAACAGAATCCCACTCTAACAAATGAACAAAAATGACTGCAGCTTTTCTCCTGTTCAGTTTCCAGGAATACAGACATATAGACAAGACAGACATATAGACAAGACCCATACAAATTATGGCATCCACCTGAGTCACAAACTGAGAGAAGAACGGAACTACACTGCCTCTAGATTTGTATTTGATCATGGACGTCACATTTAGATATTATTGAAGCCTAAGAGTCTGAAAGGAATGTGACTCAAAACTGAAGAGGTAAATTTACATTAAAAGAAATAAAAGCTTTAAAAACGCAACATCGTATGTGGTTACTGTAACATTCACGTTCAATCTCTAGGATGCCTCCATCTTCCTCATGCTACAGTACATTAAACAGCATGAAACATCGTAACATGAATGCCAAAGTCCACATTCTTAACTATGAAGACCAGATGGCAAGGCATTCTGTTAGACTAAGTTAGAACTGTGTGATTTCAGCAACTCTCAACACAGGAATTTTCAGCCTATTAGAAAGTTCATTCTTTCTAAATGTAAAGAACAAGAGCAAGGGACACAGGAGGGAATGGATTAAAAACTGCAGAACTGGCCCTGCTACTGACATCTCACACAATCACAGAAATCTTATGAACTCTTCGCTATTGCTGTTTTTTGTCAAACGAGGTACCATCTTTTTCAGAGACATACTGTAAATACCGGCTAATCACTGTAGAGGACTGTACATGCTCAAAGCATTCTATTTTGGAATGAAATAAAAGTTTGTGCACTCTAAAATTCTGTCTCTGTCTTAGATATTCATTGGTCTTTCAAACATTATTGTCCCTTCTTACAACCTTTTGCTCACTTATCACCCATCTACTAAGACTGCAATAACCTAACAGAATTCAAGTACAATTACAGAGTTGGATGAGCAAAGATCATGGAAAATTTACAGACTGACATCCTTTTAATACACTTGTGACCGTTCTTTATTAGAAGAAACATACTCTGCCACAAAAGCCACAGTTTTTGACCAACAACTCATGTCTTCAAAATTGACAAACTGTCAATCCTAGCTGTACATTTTTGTGCTCCTTTTAACTGAACAAATTGAATTTGAGGATCTTAGAACTGTGTGACAATAGTGTGCAGATTTACAACAGCAAGATGCCACCTACAATGAGAATGTACAATAATCTAAGCTCAGCTCAGGAGCAAGAACACTGTGCAATTTGACACAAGTGAACTTGAATGTCTGCATTTCTGCACACTGATGTCCAAGAAGCACTTAAAAACACACAGAGTAAAAGTCCTGATTTATTCAAACACCACCCATGTTCACAAAAATCAAAACACATACTTGGAATTTATTACTAACTTAACTCTGCATTTTGAGGCAGACAATTGAGTCTCTGTGCTGGCAGTGCAATGGACTTCGAAGCTGCACACTTAAATACATCAGCATTCACAAAGATAAAACCTAAGGACAGTACTTAAATTTGGACGTAATTTTTTCTAAAGCTATGTTATTTTCCCAGAAAAGCTGGAAATGTGTTGTTTTTATAGACAGAATATTTAAATAGAGAAGTTAAATTCACAAAACACATCAGTGGCAGAATTTACAACATAAATTGCAATTTTCTAAGTATTATTCAACTTACCTGAACCAAAAATATAATCAGAAAATAAAAGTTGGCTACTCTTCTGAACTGCTCAAATAAGTTTTTTGGAACAAAATTCCATACTGTATACTGAGGGGAAAAAAGAGAGAGAGAGAGAACAGTTATGACACACTGAACAATTTTTCAGTGAAATTCAGTTCCGCTCCCAGTAAACTCACTTAACCTAAATCTTTCATTTTCCATCTCCCCTCCCCGAAACATTCTCCTGGTCTTGCCTTACTCCCACACAGAACTGCCGTATCCAATTTGATTATTTTATTTTTTTTTAAGTACAGCTAGCAGAGAAGCAGGGGCAGCAACTGCATTGCCTTTACAGTCAAAGTTTTAAATGTTCTCCTCCCAACTGGGATAGGAGCAGCTGGAGTCGTTTGGCTGCCTGCATCCTGGGTTGCAGAGAATAAATTAAGCCTTGCAGCTGTAACTTTCTCTCCTGCACTACAGCAACAAGACACATCCCCACCATCAGTTCTATTGATTCCAGTCCAAGGTCACACTAGGAGGGCATCTGCAACTGCAGTCCACTGCCAATTTAGTTTATGCAGAGTACTAGCTTACAAATTGGCTATTTTATAAATCCTCACAAGCAGCTTCATCCTCCCTTTTAAGTGGTTCCTTGTAGTGCATCCAGACATGGGCAACGCTGTTGTAAACCCTACTTTTCTTCAGAAATTCTGACCAGCATTCTTAATTGTTCTGTACTTTGTCAGGTTCTGAGGAAAGATGGATGAGAGCAGGAGAAAAACCACATAGGAAGCAACCTGGCTTTTTTCCTCAAATAAGTTTAGAGCTTGTTTCTTTTTGATTATTTAAAAATTACCATTACCATTAAACGTGAAACACAGACGCACGGTCACTACACAACTTCTCAAGTAAGGTACTGAGTGGTTTTCCCATGACAAATTGATTCCTTACCTTGGATGATATAATTCTGTTGTCTGCAAACTTCTGAGGAACGTAATGGCCATGCTGGGGAAAACGATTTGCTATATAAATAGTTCTTGTATCACTTTGATGTGGTGGGTCAAAACCCTAAAACACAAAAAGAAGATCAAGAAAGACTACTTTATTAACTGTACATCTGTAAAATTGCTGTCTTTTTTAGACAAATAGCAGCTTTTGAATGTGAAATGAAATTAATGTGTAAATTAAAGTCTGCTGTGTCCACAGACTTTTCAAATATTAGAGGTAGAGGGGAATCTCTATTTTAAATATTTGTACTCATTCAGAAAAGTGAAGACAAAAAAATCCTAAGCCTCAGAAAGAACAGAGAATGTTTGCTAACATGCAGACTTGAAGCCCTGTGAAAATTAAAAAAGAAGAAACAGAAATGGAGATAAAAACATAAATCAATTACAAAAACTCACAGTTCATAATAACCCTAATAAAACAGATTATGAGAAAAGTAAAAGGTCAAAACAAGTCATGCTGGTATGCTGCGATAACTGGATTTTGAAAAGATCCTCACCAGCTTAAAAACAAAAGCATATGGATCTGACTAGACAACAGTATTTTCCCAAACAAGTTCTATCGCCAAGAACTAACATTTTGTCTAACCTCAAATTTGACTTCCTGCCATTGCCACCAGTTCATGCTTGAACAGTAGCAGCACTGAAAGCAAACCCATAAAAAAATAAAAAAAGGGATGCTCAGAAATACTTATCAATCGTTTCCTGCCAAAACAAAAATATGTGAGTGAGGTCCCTTGGAACCAAAGCCCTGTTTCTGGTCTACTGGTCAGCATTTCCATCAACTGCCTCTGCAAGGGTAAGGGAACTGCAGGTGTTAAATTTGCAGATGATAACACCAGATGACATCTTGACCAACCAGACACACAGAGGATGGAGAGATAGAGTGATCAGATACAAATAATTAACTGCACCTACACCAAGATAATAAAAGCCTGTATAGTTCTGTAGAAAAGATCAAAAGGCTGAATGTGAGTCAGTAATGTCACCCCATTGAGAAAAAGGCCTTCAGTGCTAAGGAGGCTGAGGAGGAGTGGAAGCCCCAGCTGAAGCACTGTGAACCAACTGGACAGCATCCAGAGGAGCGGAACATGAGCCGCAAGAGATCCTGACAACATGACATATAACGCAAGGTTGAACAATCTGAAAAGCAAAGAGCAAACAAATTAGGGTCATTTAGCCTAGAGGAGAGGAAACTTGGGATACACTAGCACATCTTCGAATATAGAAAAGACTGTGCCACTGTAAAAAGGGATAATCTGAAGGACAAAGAAGAACAAAAGTAGGCTTAATCTGCAGCTAGGAAAATCTAGTTTGGATATTGGAAAAACAAACAAAAACTCCTTTCTTATGGAAAGGAATAAATAAAACCCAAAATAAGCCACGTGGGAGGGTTGCAATGTCTCTGTAACACAAGGGCTTATATCTAGGTCATTCAAGTCTGTCTTCAATTGAGCCTTTCCTGGGGCTACATGACTCACCAGAACCCTTCCTAGCTCCAATGGTCTGACCTGGACAGGCTGGTGATGGCAAAAGACAAGTAACACAGAAAAACAGTAATAATTCAGGTAACAGGCCAAGAAAATTACTAAAATAAAAACCAAAAAGCTTCAAGACATGGAACAAACAGTGAAATTACATTTGGAACCGTTGTTCAAAAGGGAATCAATGACTGCCTGGGAATGGTGAATTTCAGCATGAACATCAGAGACTCCTACTCTGAGAACTGGCTCTGCACTGTACACACACAGTCTGCTTGTTCTTTGATGCCAAGTGAAAGGACAACTGATGAAACAGGTAGAAAGGGCATTACCAATTTCACTACTGGAGGTGAGGAAACTACCTTTGCAGTTGTATTGCTCTGCTGGTGAAACCGGGCTCACACCTTGATTTGTGACAAAGAAAACATGAGAACTCCAACAGGAGATACTTCTCTACCAGTTCAATACAGAGATGAACAGCGAGCACAAGGAGCTACATCAAAAATGGCTGGTTTAATCAACCAAGAATTGTCTTTAATTGATAAAGTTCCCTAACACAGGGCAATAGAGATGTTCACATTCAGGATGGTGTCATTTTAAAGTAAAAGAATAATTAAAAAATCCTCTCAAACATACAATCTTTTCTATTTGGCATCATTACTACAGAAGCACTCTGCTTCAGTAAGAAAGAGGTCCAGAAGAAAGAGGGGAGAAAGCAAGGAAGGGATTTTTCAAAGAGAGCTGAAGGAGAATAAACTTGAGACAACAAGCAGTGGAAGGCTGCTCCAGTCACATGCTCCAGACAAAGTAACAGTGGGCAGGGAGACAAAAAGTAGATAGGGGAAAGGACTGGACGAAGAAACAAAATACAACTTTTAGAAAAGAAATACAAGTACGAAAAGTAAGATGAAAAAATGGTACCTGTTAAATGCTGACACTGAAATTAAAAAGACAACAGTGTTTGTAGCAGAAGCATTTTGGATATCTGACACTAGCGACACATTACTTCTAAATCAATCCAGAAGATGCCACAATAAAAGTGTTTTGCAAGCAAGAAAAAAGATGTGCTTAATTAATAAAGACTACGTACACAGCTCTCATATCTCAGAAAATGTCTGGCACTCACAAAATGCCAGACATCCTCACTTTGGAAAGTCATATTCTACAGCCTGAAAAAACTCCACTCTAAACCAAACAGACGTAAAGCAGGGAAAAACAGAAAAAGTAAATAAAGTGACTGGCAGTCTCCTGATGGTGATAAATGCTAATCTCCATGCCACTCACTGACACTTACTACAAGATAAATGAAAAATTTCAGAGTGAACAGGATATCACTTATTTTTTTCCAAAGTATTTATATGCCCCTTTTAGGTGACCGAGCACCTGAAAGTTGATGAGTTTAATGACGCTTTATGATGAAGAGCAAAGACCTCCATACAACTCAAGCCTAACTGCACAAGCACGTCTATCAGAGAATACCTCTGCTGAAGCAGACTCAAGTGATCAAAAGCAAAGAACCTATTTTACAAATCAGAATCTCAGGCCATATGAATTTACAGCTGCAGTTATGCATCTAAAACAAGTTAAAATAGCAGTGTGTGTATATATATATATATACACACACACACACACACACACATATATATATTTACATATATATATTATACATAAAATGTATATATATAAACATAAATATGTGTGTGTGTATATGTGTGTGTATATATGTGTATACGTGTGTGTGTATATGTGTGTGTGTGTACGTGTGTGCGCGTGTGTGTGCACGTGTGTGTGTGTACATATATATACATGTATTTAACTCTGCTTTGCTGAAATTTATCACAGAGGAAGAGCAGAAGATCTGTGGAAATCAGATCTCTGGAAATGGTAATGCTAAAGCAAGGCAGGCTGGGGACTAGCACCTCTTCAGTTGTCACACACATCCTTGACAACCTCAGTGACTTGACTGTTGTCACAGCAGGACATAAGTGTCTGAGCTGGGAACTGAACCCGAGTTTCCTACATTTCATTTCTGTAACTATGAAAGATCATTTGCAATTACCTAACAAACCTGTCATAACATGATTAGCTGGTGAGACTGCAACCAAGTAGATCTTCCGGATAAATGTTAATAATACATCTCTTCAAGGAAAATTCTGCACAGACGTTGAATTTAACTGTTCAAGACTTAAACTGCTCTGTAACTACGTGGCTGGTCACAGAACCTGCTCCTGAAACAAAACTGATTCATAACCCAAATTTCTGCCCAGCACAGTGATTTTGCACAGTGCCTATATGAAAGCCAGCAAACAGATGCAGAAAGCACACTGTCTCCTAATTTCACTTATTAGACAGTTCTTTCTCTAATATCTTTATCAAACTCAGCTGCAAAACTAGGGTAACATGCCCTTGTCAAAGGATTTCTGCAGCTAAATAGCATGAGCAGAGAATCCTTAAAATAAATGGAGTCTTGCAGAAAAAGTCAGTTGTCACCAATATTTTTCAACAAAAGTTACTTTTCCTGCAGTTGTCTTGTGAAATGATTTCTACCTAACTGCAAGATGACTGACTTCATAACAAATAAAGCTGAGTTTATTACAAAATGTGGTATTTAAGGCTTGTTAATCAGGCATTATTACATGAATCAACTGTAAATAAAATAAAATTTAACCATAAGATTAAGAGACTAAAAAAAACCCCAAAAACCTAAACACATCTGTTTGATTTTTCTTCCCCTTTCATGCTGCAAATTACATCTAGATTTATTGGCTAAAGTTCAGCCATTCAGCTGATTTATCAACATAAACCAGGCATTATCTACCCCTGAAATACAGCTCTTATATTTAATCTTCAATACAGACCTCCCCAGAGAAATTCTGCACCCAGATAAACTTAACTTTTCTTTTTAAACATTCTAAATAAATGCCATTGACATTCAACACAGACACGTTGGAGTCAAGCTGACTTATAAACTATAAACCAAAGTAACTTTATTGGGGGGGGGGGGAAGATAGAAAGTGATTCAAAATTTTCCTTTTTTATAAATGTGTAATGACTCTAACCAAAGGTGAAGTAATTTTTACTAAATCTCTTCAGCAGTGCTTTTGTGAGTGTTCTGAAAGTCAGACAAAGATCCTCTGTGTAATAAACGCTCCTTTAAAACAGTACAGAAAACATATCCTGGGCAACTGAGGATGATCTTTTGACCGTGATGTTATGGTATTTCTTTCATGAAAGAAACAGGCTTCAGCAGCCACCTCTCCTCCAAATAACCCCTTCCTACACTTTGTCTCCACCCCCATTCTTGTGCCAGGAAAACTGCCCATGCAGCCATACAGTAAAGTGGACTAGAAAACTGATCCAACGGAAACCTCACCATTTTCCCAGTCAGTTGGTTTTTTTTTCAAGTTATTTTTAGGTTTTTTATTTTCAACAATTGCATGGTCATGCCAACAGCACAGCGGTAGAGCAAAAGGGTACAGCGTGGAGGAAGAGTTGTATGTTGCGGCTGAGGAAGCATTATAAGCATGAGCAACGAATTAAGCAGCTGGAGAAACAGGCAGAGTAAGCGAAGGAGAAGCACTACGAAAAAATCCTGTGCAAAGGAAGAGTCTGCCCTCTCAACAAATAAACAAATAAAAAAATAGGAAAAAAGCTTTCTCCGGCAACTTGTTGATACCATATACACTATCTACTGCAGCAGACTCCTATTTCTTAAATACCACCATTAAAAAGCTTAACCTATGGCAGCATGCACATATGCCCTCCCCACATGCTCTACAGCACTGAGACAGCAGAAATCCGCAGATCTTTCCACTAGGATTAGTGACACAAGAAAGGACACAACAGCACACAACAAATCAATTGCTGTTCCAAGCTCTGCAATACATGAACTGACAAACACAAATCATCTGACATGCAATTTTTGCTTACAATTTGCATAAAGCTAAGTATAGTTCAACTTGAGCTCCAGTGTTTCTTATTCATTATTCACAGTTTTTACAGGAAAAAAAAAACCCAAACAAGTGTTATTTGCTAAAAGAACTTCTGCTATGTGATCAGTTTTCAGTGAAAGGGGTTTGGAAGAAGTAAATCTCAATTAGAGTCTCTTCCTCACTTCAAAAACCACACTGAACACTGCTAAGGGAAGCAGTAGTTCTCCCTGAAGCCCTTTGTATACCACGTACTAGTTTAAAAAAACCCAACTAATAAATAGAAAACAACTAGGTCTCAGGAAGCCTTTTTCCTAGGGAGGTGACTGACTGACCGTGGCTGCAGAAACAGAGCACCATGGTTCCTGGCAAGTCACCCAAAAGCCCAGTGTTACACTGCTGCCAAGATACATTTTGATGAAAGCTGTTTTGAGGAAATGGATTTTCTTGCTTGGGATTTTTTCCTGAATAGACATGAATACTTTTCTCTTTGTCAGATAAGAGAATCAGTTCACACTCTATGCACATTTTCAGAAGTCTGTGTAAATTACTACTCAAAACAGTCAGCCAGTGATTCCCTCAGTCATGTAACTAGGCAGTAGTCAAACTGAATTTGTCGTAAGAGAGGTTAGCATGAAGGAAGAAACAGCCTCTCACAGCAATTTTAAACACTGCTCTAACAACTAAAGCAGTAAATCAGCTGAAACACCCTGAGGTTTACATAGCACCATGC